CGTGATTAAATTACGTGATTATATCTAATGTTTTAAAATAAGACCAATATTGTAGATTCACTATATTGTATGCAAGCGAGATATGCTTGCATGGTATAAAATCAAATTGCGAATATCTTTTGTATTTGCGTTCACAACTTACAAATACAAAATGGTCTGCTATAAAACTAATATATTTATTTCATTAGTGTGAACATAATTTTGTAACAAATACCTTATTCTTAAGTATATTTAGAGTGGCATAATCTTAGTGAACTTTGGACTTTCAAAATCTGAAGACAGATCCGATATACATTCGTAAACGTTTTTTTGTTGCTTGGTTAATGTATATATATGTTCGTAAACTTTGATATTTTTTTAAAAATTGAAGTGAAAATATAACTCTAGAAGAAAAACAAATTCTCCAAAATGTAAAGTCATGTCAAGAACATAGACCATATATAGTCCCTACGCGTATTAGTATTTGTTAAAAAAGAGTATAATGAATTATGGTCCAACGAAAACTTCTGAGTCGGTTTTGAGAGTCAACCCACGTGGGCACTACCCAAGTCAAACATATTCCAATGGGCCCTCCCATCAACTATGGTTTTCTCTTTATTCAGTTGATACATCATATTTTTGGTAGCCAAAATTCCATTACTGTTGCCAAAATACCATATTATACAGTCTTAATATAATATTAAGGAACTTTCTACTTATTTAATTATAAATTCTTTTTAACTTTTTGGACAAGTTTGAGTTAAAATATCTCTACTTTTCTTTTACTACACTGGCAAATTTATATAAAAAATATTCTTGGCATAAAGCCATAAACATTGAATCCAAAGTCAAAAACTATCCAAAACGAGTAAATAACATTCATTGGGGATAAAAGTAATTCAAAGCTTCGGTGCATCACACTAGTTTTTTTAAATTTCATGTAGGTTATTAGAAAATGTGAGATTGATTAAGATGTTAATATTCTAACATCTTAAACAATAATAGAAAACGCGAATACATGATTTTATTGACAAAAAAATATCTTGTAGTTTTCTCTATAATCAATCACAGCGAATGAGTTCCTAGTTCCTATGTGCATATAACATAATTAAAAAACCAATTCATCAACATTGTCATATTTAAACATATAACGAAAAATAATGGATATAATATAACAAAATTTTGGTCTTATTAGTTTTTTTTTTTAACCTTGTTTTTTTATTAGTTACACAGTGATTTTGGCCATATAAATTACAGATAGAAATTATGTACAATTTGGAAATACCAAATATACATTATCAGCAGTTGTTTTCAGACTTATAATTTCATAAATACAATGGTTATTTATTTTCTACAATTTCTAAACGAATATATAACAAAATCGTAGGAGATGCCAAATATATTGAATTCATAATACCAATAGCTCTAGGAAATTTTTTTATATAAGGAACATCAATGTTGAAAGGAAAAAGGGTATAAAGAACATTTATAAGATTTGATAAGTGGAGGGTTCGAAATTCGAATATTAGGTTAATGGACCCACTTGTTTCCTTGCCTATAAATTCCCCAAATGAAATCTCATTTAACCCATGCAAAATAAAACAACACACAAAGACAAAAACATACATACGCTAAAACCTGCGTCTTTCCAACTCTCAAACATTCTTCTTAATTATTCTTTTTAGTCATTTTGCCTCTTGTCTCTCTTCTTACCAACGAAAGCATATACACACACTTATAAATATGGATCAAGGAGGTCGTAGCGGTGGCGGAGGAGGAGGAGCTGAGCAAGGGAAGTTCCGGGGAGTAAGAAGGCGACCTTGGGGAAAATACGCAGCGGAAATAAGAGATTCAAAAAAGCACGGGGAACGTGTGTGGCTAGGGACATTTGACACGGCGGAAGACGCGGCTAGAGCCTATGACCGAGCCGCGTATTCCATGAGAGGCCAAGCCGCCATTCTCAACTTCCCTCATGAGTATAATTTGGGAACCGGATCTTCCTCCACCTCTTCCACCACCGCGGCAAGCTCTTCCTCGTCGAGGCAAGTTTTTGAGTTTGAGTACTTGGACGATAGTGTGTTGGAGGAACTTCTTGAATATGGAGAGAACTACAACAAGAATAATAATATTAACATAGGTAAAAGGCAATAAAGGGAATACAATTGTTATAGATTGAAAGTTACGTGACAGGCCATTTCCATTTACGACAAAAATATCCCAAGCGTAATAAGCTCTATTATTGGCAAATAAATTGTAAGTTGTAATTGTCAATCGATTTCTATATAACGAATAAGATTCTTTAAGCGGGTCATCTTCATTCCTAGAACTTCAGTGTTTAGGCGGATCATTGTGTAACTAGTTTTGAGAATGTATTAGTCATAATGTGAAAATAATGATTATATGAAACATCCTTTTATTGTTTTGTTACGTGTAAGCTATATGGTTTGATCATGTGGTTCATCAAATGAGCTTTAAAGTTCTTAAAAAATCAAATACCGAAAGAGAAACTTCAAACATCTAAACGTGTTTAACGTTTTCATTTTAAAAGTTTTGCATGTTAAATCATATTTGTCATTCATGAATTTCATTGAAAAGACATATTGTAGACGCATATTTACATTTGCATTTTGAAAATCATTTTTACTACCAATTGAATTCAGTAACTCGTGGTCAGAATTTTAATTATCATATAAATGTTTGAACAAATTATTTTTGTAAGTAGCCGGAATAGAAGTAAAGCAAACTCAGGTATATATAGGAGTGTACATTTTTATTTTTAGACTTGGAGGACTGCATTTAGTCACTTTGGTTTGGTTAGGATATTTTGATTTTTTTGTTTATATAGGGTTTGGAAGATTTATGACCACATTAAAAGTTTTAACCATATTAATTTTATAAACTAGGATTGATAAGCCAAACTAGTGAACAAAAATCTACCAACAAAAAAAATTAAATTCTTAATTCTAAACATTTTAGAGCCGGTCCTACAATCTAACAAACTTGGAATCATATTAAGTGAAAAATGTGGGAAGAACAAAAACACTCATCTCATCATCTTATCGAAAAAATCACGATCTATTCGCTTCATCAAAATGCAAATCATAATCAAAAGTATGTTTTTATTTTGGGTGTATAAGTGAGAGACTTAATTCGGCGTTAATTTTATCCCCATCAAAAGTTTTCTTAGAACCATATCTTTTTTTTTTGTTTTTTTAGAAAAAAGAATCATATCTTTTTTACTTTATCATAACAAAAACCATATATTTTTTTTTTCTTTTTAGTTTCAAGATTAAAAAAATACCTACGACA